AGCCTTTAAATCAAGGAGGATCTCTCTTTTAGTAAGCACAAAGATTAAACAGACTAATTAAGCTATGCTTTAGACCATCCACTCCTGGGAAAACACAGCAGAGTTCTATCAACAGTGGTCAGGTCATGGAACATGCTTTCCTGTCAACTGGAAAGTCTCATAGTTTTACATTGAAAGCCTTGTTGCCCTCTGGGAAATTATTCTGTTTAGTGGGGAGAGATGTCAATCCACATGATTCAAAAGTTTTCACCAGGATCTGAGAGGTAGATCTCTTATATAGTATTGACAAAGTGTGATGTGTATTTTATATTCTAGAATCAATTTCTTTCCTCCTAGGGTCGATTTTATTTTAATAAAGAATTTTTTAATCTATTGGTCAAAATGTTCCTATATAAAGGCAGTGTCTAAGGTGCCAGTTTTCTTCTTAGAAATGCCTTGATCTATCACCATTCAGTAAATATGAATATAAATTTTTAAAAAATATTTTCATTAATATTTAGAAAGAGAGGAAGGGTGATGCAAAGAGAGTAACATCAAGGCTAGAATGAAACATTTATTGGCTGCCTCCCACACTCGCCTGTCTGGGATTGAGCCCACAACCTAGGCATGTGCTCTAGCTGGGAATTAAACCAGCAGCCACTTGGTGCATGGGATGACGCCCACCTCAGTCAGGGCTGAATGTAAATTTTAAGAGACTTAAAGCTTTCAAGAATCCTGAGTCATATTTTTTTCTCCATTCTTATTTATATCTCTAGACTAATCATAATTTCTGATGCATTTATTTTGAAGTTGTTAATTTTAGCTGAGTCAGTGATATATGTAGAAAAACATAAGTACATATCTTTCACTCCTTCTCCACTAGCCAGTATTATTCTGGAAAAAAAAGTTATGTAAAAAAGATCACCAAAGTAACAAAGCAGATATTAGATTTTTTTTGTCCTAAAGTGAATCTTGATGGTGCATATCTTAATGAATAGGAAACGTGAATTTCTTTTAATAAAACAATTCCTTATTTCAATTAAACTTTATTTTGCTTCATTGCCATCCTCTAAGTATGGGCAACTTTTGTCTTCTACATTCTGCTATTTCCTGTTGGTTATTTGCTGAATTTTGCAAGCAAAGTGAATAGCTAACAATGAGTACACATCACTTAATTTAATAAAATATTAGTATCTGATCTTTGACTCATTAAATGACAAGATTTCCTATCTTTGACTTATTACTATTTAACATTGCAGACCTGTCACTAATAGTCCTAATATATATTATTCCCTGAAACATTTGTGAGCAGTAAGCATGACAGAATAAGAATTGGTTTAGCAGGGCAAAGCCAAATGGTTTCATTTCTAGGACACAGATGTATCATCTTTCTAGATCACAACTATTGATTCTGGAGTCACGGTAAACCAACATACAAATTTCATTCATTATTGATCTGTCTATATTAATTTAGAAACTTTGTTTTAATTTTAAAGTATAGATACATAATCTACAATTTTAAAAATTAAACATTTAAAATATGTGCTTTTCTTTTGAAACTATAAATGCTTTTAATGAATCCATACTTGGATGCTGAGCCTGTTAAGACATACCAGGAGCCCATGTCGTTTTTTCTTTCTTGTTTAACTGTGACAAAAACATGGAAACGGTGGCTGAAAATAAATAAACTCACCCTTTTCTCAAGTCTCCATTGAGATTTATGTACACTCCATGCATGCTTATTAGTGGTGAGTTCTTTAAAAGACCAAAGAAGTTGCGGCCTCTCCCTCAAGGAACATGGAGTGTTGCAGGGTGATGTTAGAAACACGGGAAATAACTAACAAACACATCCAAGGCAACTTCTTAATAATACATGGTATACAGAGCAGACAGTTTAAAAGAATGCTGCAGAATTTAAAGTCAAGAGTGACTTGACCTGGGCTAATAGCAAGGAAGGAAGCTCAGGTTAGTGCTTCGGACCAAGTGAAGGGAGGGTACATTGAGGAAGGACAGTGAAGAGAGGGGGTGATTGCAATTTTGAGGCTGGTGTGGGCTGTTGAGGAAAGACCCCGTGGAGGGAAATAGCAGGAGGGAAAAGTGAGCTTTCTCCATCTCAGAATGGAGGCTCCTTGACATTGGACTCAGAGGTATTTACGTGCTTCTTCCTTCCACTATAGGTTTTTGCTTGTTTTCCTGGAAATCGTCACGCATCCCATGAGGGCTCTTCCTGAATTCTGATTTACTCCACAGGGTGGCAAAGATGTGCGCTGGGAAAAACAGTGCAGACATAACAGTGCAGCCATTGGCACACCCACCGCACTGGGTGCTTGACCTTTCTGTTGCTCTGGACATCTAAGAGATGCTAGATGGTGGCCAGAGGTCCTGCCATTGAGCCACATCATGTTTGTTCTAAATACCTGCTTATTTTAGCAAAGTGGCAGCATGCTCAGTGGCATCAGCAGTAGTGACTCTCAGCCACAGTCACATCTGACATGTGGTAACGGTAGGAGCAATGAGAAGGAAGCATGAGTTCCTTCTGAGAGAAGCAAATCCTTATTCGCCAGGAACCTCAGTTTTTATAGACAGTAAAGAGGTTGCACTGGAGTGTCCCTAAGACTTCCCCAAAACTATTCTTCATTATTTTATACTAGAGGCCCAGTGCGAGAAATTCATGCATGGGTAGGGTCCCTAGTGGCTGCCACCACCACCACTGGCTGGGGGGTGGGGTGGGCTCTTCCCAGCCACCTGCCACCACTGCTGGCAGGGCAGGGCGGGGCGGCTGGAGGGGACGGGCCATGGGCGGTTGGCCGGCTGGCTCCACCCCCTGGTCAAACTCCTGGTGGAACTCCCGGTTGAGGAGACAATTGCATATTAGGCTTTTATTATATAGGATTTATTCCAAAACTATAAGTCTTGATATAGCAAAGGCTATTCTCTCAGTATTATACTTAATTCATATGTAATGAAGAAATGAAAGTCTTTACTGGTGAATTTAATGTAGCCTTTCCTGCTCTCTACCACCATGTGAGCAGTGAAACCTATAAAGCCCAGGGCAGTGCAGGCACTGGCACCCTGACCCGGGTTCCGCAGGCCTCGGGGGATCTCTTCGTGGCTGAATTTTCAAGTTGACCTGGTGAGGTTCTGAACTTGCCTTCAACAAGAGGCAGAATTTGAATTTGAGGCTCAATAGACCACAAGGAGATGAAGATAGAAGTGGGGGTTTGGGGATAAGTTGGGACCTTGTAGCCCTGACTTTAAATACTTCCCTTATGCTTCCTTCGTCGGAAAATGAGAGGTTAACTGACCTGTGCTATCCCTCTGGTGGCTTGGTGGTAATACTCAGAAACCCAGGTTTCTGGTCTCCCACCTTGGTCCACAAACCGTGCCTCCATTTAATTAGTGAGACTGATGGAAAAGTTAATTACACAGAACCCCACAGAAAGGGGCGTTGTGGTAATCACACATGCAACGCTTTGGGGTGCAGCGGAGAGCAGGGCCACGCTGCAGCCAGCCACGTGGCGGGAGACGGAGTCCTCACAGTGGCCATGCTCTCTTCCCGGGAAGCAGTTAACGGAGAAAATGTTTTCACTGGAAGGAGGGTTTTCAGGTGAGAAAATTTAAAATGTGAAGCAGGGTGTGAAGGAAGTGGAGGGTGCCGTGAACCATCCTCCGGAGGAATGCCTGTCCCTTCACCCAGACAGAATGTGCTGGTGGCCTGGATCCTGTGCTCAAGCTGGGCGACCCCCAGGCAAGATTCAGAGCTGCCCACAGGCCGTTAGGAGAGAGCCTGGTATCTGCGAGGCTCCCCGCGCATGTTCTTAGGATGGTCACACACTCACATTGGTATTTAATGGGAAGATCTGGGAGATGGTGGGACACAACTTGTAAATCAGAAAAATAATTCTTAGAAAAGCAAGTGAGGTCACATATCTGAGGATTGGCATTCTTCACCCCAAACATAATGTGAAATATCAGGTGATACGATAAAATAAATAAATCGTGGCCTTGTCCCGCCCTTTGGTTCACACAAGCATAAGCACCTTGCAGTAGGAAAGCGAAGTCCCGCAGCCTGAAGGGGTAGGTGGAGCGTCCACGCCGCCACGGTGAGCCTGTACTCTCCGAAAGACTTCATTTCTAAAGGAGTTACAGTGTTTGTAAAACTTTTTAATCCTCACCTGAGATATGTTTAGAGAGAGGAAGGGAGAGAAAGAAACATTGATGTGAGAGAGATACATCAATCAGTTGCCTCCTGCAAGCACCCCAAACCACAACCTGTGTCCTGACTGGGAATGGGATCCACAGCCTTTTGCTGTACAGGATGACACTCCGACCACGCGAGCCACAGGGCCAAGGCTACGGTATTTTTATTCCAAAATAATTATTGGCTTCTTTCTTGAAACTTTTCTGAAAGACTTAAATTATACCATACAGAGTATATACTTGTTAGTACTGCCCAGAAAATGCCAAAATTACTAATTGGAAATTGGGTCCACATAATAAATTGATGCTTTATTATGAGGTGTATCTCTAATCAGATACAAACACACACATACATGGAAAAGCAGACACGTGGTTGGCCCCACTCATGTGTTCTTTTAGTTTCTATCCAATGACTTAGTAAAATAAGTTTGCTTAAGTTTAAGATGTTAACCAAGAAAAATTAATTTAAACAAAAATGATTGGGTAGGATTATTTTTATTAGCTATTTTTTAGTCTAAAGATAATAAAAATAATTAATTATAATTTCTCTAAATTTAAATACAAAAATGATTACTAAAGATTTAAATGAAAATTAAGTATTACTTTCAGTGCTCTTCAAATTCACAGCAGAGATAACCAAATAGATCAATGATTTTTAATTGGATTAGCCATTGATATAATCTCTTGAGCACATTCATTTGTCAGATGGAGACTTTGTCAATTCAAAAGAAAATATTACCCTTGAAAATGTTAATTTGGGAAACATTTCAAAACTGTCCCTTATTCAAATTGCAGCAGACTGTTTTTTTTTTTTTTTACAGTGCTTCTTAAAATATATCTTTATTTCCTTCAATGTGAATATTTTTAATGTGTTGTGAATTCATCAAATATAACCATTTAGGACTGTTTTTACTACCTCTACTAGTATGGACAGATAAATTTACAGGCATTATTTTGAATGTAGTCTACTTCAGTTAGCATAATTTTATGTAGGGAGTTATATCATTTGAACTTACATGTAGTGTAGTTCATGGGACAAGCTTCTGACCCTGAAGTCTCACTTTGAGCCTGGCTCCCAGCTTACTAGCAGTTGGGCAAGCCAAGCTATCAACCCAAGACTCAACACGTCCATAAAACAGAAACATTACATTACAATCTGTCCTATCTACATCACAGGGTCCTTGTAAAAATTGACTAGGTATCAATATACATTGAATTTTTTTTCAACTATAAAGTACTATAAAATAACAATTACAGATACATCAGTGACTTTAACAAAATAATTATTTCAACTTCTTGCCTATAACCAAAAGCTTTTAAATGAAACAGTTTAAATAAAGTGGTTACTGAGCAAATGAAACTATATTACTCACACCATGTTCCTAGACTACCCTACTGAGTCTACTTTTTGGAAAAATTTAATTCATTTTAGAGGGAAAAAATCTGAGCTAAGGTATTTATTAGTGTTTATATAAACAATCTGCAACCACTCATTCAAAAATAGGGTTTTCCCCCTTGATAAGAGTGCATTTTTTAATAGGACTGTATTTGAATAAGAATTCCACACAAATAGAATATATACCTTAATAATACAAGAAAGCAAGGAAGGAATATTTTACATCATACAGACCAGTCAGTTGGTTCATTCAAGATGAGCTATCCTTCCAACCAAATACTTATTTTTTATATTTATTACAAATGTGTAGTCAGTTCAGTATATACCAACAATCATACACACAGCTTTAACATTTAGTAGTGTGAAGCACACTTAACTATTCCCAAAGGGACATGGGATGTGGTCTTCATTTCAGAAGGAGAAGTGATTGGATTACTGCCTGCTCTGTAATGCTTCAACTAACCATTGCATTGCCTCATCAAGGCCAGTGCCTTTGGTTCCTGAAGTTTTGAATATTTCCCATTTCCGGTCCTTCAAGGCAGGTAACCCAAGTGAATTTGCCATCTCTGAGGGAGTCATAGCCTGTTCCATGTCCTGCTTATTTGCAAATACCACCAAAATGGCTTTTCTCAGCTCTTCTTCCTCCAACATGGCAACCAACTCTGATTTGGAAATGCCAATTCGGTCTCGGTCACAACTGTCTACTACATAAATGACGGCATCTGTGTTCGAATAATAACATCTCCAGTATGGCCTGATACTGGTCTGTCCTCCTAAATCCCAGACTTGAAATTTAAGGTTCTTGTATGTTACCGTCTCAACATTAAATCCAATGGTAGGAATAGTAGTAACAACCTCTCCAACCTGTAATCTGTACAAAATTGTAGTTTTTCCTGCTCCATCTAATCCCAAAATTAAAATCCTCATTTCCCGGGTTCCAAACAGACTCGAAAATATACTTGAGAAAAAGCCACCCATGATGAAGCGCCCGTCCGCCCTCGTCGATCGATCCGCAGACACAGGCCCTGGTCTCGGCAGTGACTCTACTGGACCCCGGTGCAGCCACCTCCGCTCCTCTCGGCCTCCACCCGGCGTGGGCGGGAGCGAGCGGCCGCTGCAGTGACTGTTTTGACAAGTAAGTGCAGAAAGCATTTGCAGACAATACAGGGCGAAGCCTTTCTCCTTCTCTGAGTGAGGCAGAAGGAGGAGAAGCCTGTGATCTATCTCCCTGGACATTTGTCTTGCCAACAGGATGTTATCTTTGAGACCGGTGGTCTACAGCTCTTGTCCAGTGGTAATATCTAATCTGGCAAGCTGGGATGGCCATTAAGAAAAACATATTTTTCCTTTCTCTTGAAAGAAATAGTGATGTGGTCTTTGGGACCAAGGAGTAGGCCATAGGACCCCAAGGTTAAGTCTCTAAATAAGAAAAAGAACACAAATGCTGCCAGCACGCCCCATGCCCTGTGTAGCTGGGCTATGCGCGTGTTGACCATCTCTGGAAAATGAGACTTTTTAACACAACACCAGTGCTGGAATCAAAAACACTTTCCACTGCTCAGGCCATTGTTTTAGTTTTCAATGCTGTGTAATAAGTGACCACAAACTTAGTGGCATGAAGCAGCACCAATTATTACCTTACAGTTCCTATAGGTCAGAAGTCCAAGCACAGCATAGCTGGTCTCTGACCAGCTCACATGCATCTGAAATCAAGTGACTGCAGAGCTTTGTTCTCATCTGAAGCTCAAGATCTTTTTCTACACTCATTCATGTTATTCAAATAATTCGATTTCTTGCAGTTGGAGGCCTGAGGTTCCTGCTTTCCTGTTATCTGTTGTCTGGAGGTCTTTCTCAGCTGATACAAGTTGTCCTCATGTCATATCTGTGTGGTTCTTACAATATGGCGCCTTCTTTAATGCCAGCAGGGGGACCTTCTTTGGAGGCTAAGATGGGTAATAGAGTGGAACTCGACCACAGGAGCTACTCTCCTATAACCTTTGTCGCATAACATGATCTAATAAAAAACTAAAATTTTCTGCCAGAATTCGGGAGGCCAAGATTAATTGTAAAACCAGTCTCAGCTGAGTGCCGCAAAGCTGACAATCACGAGGATACAGAAGAAGCCAGGAGGGCACGGCGATGGATCAAATGATGGCCGAGATTCAGGGGTGCTTATGACATGTCTGGCACTCTGTCCAATGCACTGCCTCCTACATCCCTCGTAGCAGCCCAAGGATCTCCACCTCCACTGACTGCCTTGTTTGTGAGTAAGGAACTGGAACACTGAGAGATGAGGCAACCTGCCCAGGATGGCACAGCGAACAAGTGGCAGACCCGGGAAACAACGGCAGGCGGCCTGACTCCAGCCTGGGCCCCTAGCCAGAGGAACAAACCCAAATGTGGTACGCAGACAGAAGTTTGCCTGGGCTCCAGCCTTCAGACCAGGTCGTCTCTAAAGAGTCCATAGTTGATGAGAAGCTGTTTAATTTTAAAAGGACTTCTCATGCAAGAATGAAATTTAAATTGCAGGATTTGGGCTAGTAATAGAATACACTCCTGGGTTCCTTTGTGTGAGAGGGTAGCGCTAGGCTGGGGCAGGGGGGATGTTAAGGGAAGAGCAATGGATCAGAACCATGAGGCTCTAAGTTTGGATAGAAATGCACTAACATTTGGTTTCTTCTCAGTACTGGGTTAAGCCCTCCAATTTGGCCTTGACCATTGGAAGGCCATCAATTTAGCCTCCTCTAAATGTTTGTGAGACCACGACCAGCATGGCCTGGGTTCAATGGCCTGGAGAAAGGGCTGACACACAAATTAATACAAAAGACAAGAAATATAAATTTGGAAATTATGGGGAAGCCAGCTGTGAATTTAGTTCAAGGGACTAAGTTCCACTGAATCTCCATACCCAACTTCTTATTATTTACTAGAATACACAATTGCCTTTTAGGAATGCAAACAGACATATCAATGGTAATGTTTAGTAAACAGTAAAAAGATTATCAGGTTAGGGAGGTTGCCTTCAGCCATTGAGTCAGCATCAGGTAATAAAATGCAGATATTCAGCCCTGTGAATATCAAAACCCCATTCAGCCTTCTGATGGGATTTCTCACATTTATATTAATTACTGTTGATTTTGGCTTCCAGAAAATGTTATAGTCAATACAATAATGGTCATACGTTTCATGTCTACTTAGCATCAAGTCTGAAATATAAACAAGACATGCTATTCAGATTTATTACACCTTCTCTTGGGAAAGTACATAAAAATTAGAAAAATTTCTGTATGTGCATCAGATAGTAAAATTCTGCATAAGTATAAAGGTATGGTTATTATTGCAAGAGAAAATGCTGCACTAATTCATGACAACCATTAAAGCTGTTATTTTTATAAACCTATTATTAGGAACTCTCAGCTAAAAAAAGAAATAGACTGGCAGTTAAAGCTAACAGAAAAATAAGTTAGCTAAATTCAGAAATAACATGATGTTTTTGAGCAACACATGCTCATAAAAATGTAAACACTCCCATTTTAGATTTCTTTTCTTATAACATTTTTTTGCAATCAGTAGTCATAACATCAAATAAAATATTTAAAACTGCAGTCATTTCATAGAGGTTTTATATTTGTAAATTTGCCTACTTGCTAACACTTACTTGTAACTCCGAAGTCAGTCCTTGAAGCCGGCCCTTTCAGTCCATCAGACCAGAGCAGGAAGCCCCGCCCTCACATGGCCCCCCTGCAGTGGGACAAGGAGGCAGCTTCAGATCCGCAGTGAACAGGGCTCCTCTCAGGCCTCGCCTTTGGTTGCTGTGACTGTGGGGTGACCTCGCTGTTTGAGGTGGTTCCTGAGTGTGGTGCTGACATGCTTTCCATTTCATAAGCACAAGAAGGCTGCTGTGCCTTCGGAAAATGTATGTGCGTTTCACAGCTTCTTTCAGGCATACGTTATAAATCAATACTATGCTTTAAATAAACTGTCTTTAAAAGAAACACATGTAGAAGGTTCTGTATTCACCTGGCGACGAAAACGTGGCCAGAGGCTTGCGGGACCTTCACCTTGTATTTTCCCGGGAGAGCGATGTTTGCAGTGACTGTAGAACATAACTGCCATGAATGATAAATGTTAACTATGATTCTCACTTTCAGTTATTTAATTCCATTGCTCAATGAGTTTAAGTTGAGGAAATTCTTTATAATTTGTGAAAATGAATTAAAAATAGAATGTTTATATTGTTGCTTGAAAGTTAAAAGAAGAAACATTCACTGAAGAAAACACTCCAAAATCATGCACAATAGCATCCATGAGATATATTTAATCCAAATATAATAAGGAACATATAACATGTATTCAACATAAAAAACAGATTAAATCACTAGGGAAATGTGTGCCACACCCAAAGTATCTTATTCTCCCCCTATCCTGAACAGAAAACGTATCTCAATTTAAAATACAGGGGTTGTAAGAGCAATGAAAAAGCTGGTATTCTATGAAATTTTTGTTCCTGTGCTATAATGCCTACTTAAATTCAATGAGCGTTTTCATAGTCAAATTGTAATGATAATTAAGTGCTTATTTGGGAAAAGCTTCACTTCATACTGATTGTTATAGCTCATAGTGTCAGATGTGGGGGACAGCAGCCTTTTACTGAGTGCTGACTTCTGACCCCTGTCATTTGGCCTTCCGCACTGGGCCACGGTGCCTACTCAAGTGAACCTATTCACTGACCCCGTTTGAACTTAAGCCCACATTTTTAAAATAAGATATACTATATATATATATATATATATATATATATATATATATATATATATATATAAAATACAAAGATAATAAATGTGAGTCTTAGAACAATTTAAAAGTTCAATGTAACTATTTAATATGTCTATCACTTTCTATTACTTTTAGAAAATACTGGTCTAGTTTCCCAACTCATTCATTCAACAGGCTGTTGTGTGCTAAGAACTGTGCAGGAACTGAGGTATAAGCCCTGTCACAGCTCCTGCTCCCGAGAACCCTCATATAGTCCGGGGATCCTCAAGGGCAAGGCAAGGTGTCACTCAGTTATGCTTCATGATGCTTCGGGTGTCTGCTGTACCATGACATAGGGATAAACAAACCATCAGAAGCCAATGCCACAGGCCAATGTGAGCAGGGTTCACATGGCTTCATGAGGAATTAGAGCAAAACAGGAATTGTACACATTCTACCTGCACAAATTATGGCATAAGGTCTTTAACGATCATCTTCGTATGTACTTGAAATAAGCAGTTACAAATATTTATTGGCCCTAACCACGTATTTGTCATGCTTTTTCATCACTTAGAAAAATAAAGCACTTTAGTGTGATGACTAAACAGCTAATGAGTTTATTCTAGAAAAAAATGTATCTTCAATTGAATAGGAATAAGCCTTTGAAACTATAGTTAAGGTGGGGAGGAAAGATATTCTTTCTCATTATTAGAAAAAAAAAAGAGGAGAATTCAAACACATTTAAGCACTCTCATAAATGTTGATTTTTCTTCCCCCCACATACCTGCAGCTCTGGAACAAATCTGTGATGAATGATTGCCATTTTATAGCTATGTGTCAAATGTCATCACAACATATACCAGAGAGACCATGCATGAACTACAATTTACACCTGCTTTATAGTTTATAAAATGGTCCCATGTGCATTTTATTCTTTGCAATTGCTTTAGTCCTTTGAGTTTGATATAACAAAAACACCATAACTAAGTAGCTTATAAACAATAGAAACTTATTTCTCACAATCCTGGAGGAGGGAAGTCCAAAATGAAAACACCCGAGATTCAGTCTTCACATGGTGAAGGGAAAGGGAGTTTCAGGATTGATGGTTCTCTCTTTTGTTGTTAGTCCTTACCCGAGGATATTTTTCCATTGATTTTTTAGAGAGAGTGGAAGGGAGCAGGAGAGACAGATAGAGAGAAACATTGATGTGAGAGAGAAACATC